ACCCTACAATGCCCCAGCTCCTGCACAAATTTTCCATAATTTTTAGAAACAACAAAGAAATTATATTTAAAATCGATAGGAATAAAAACGAACTAGAGAGATACCTCACTAAGGGAAGAGAGAGAGAGGAGAGGAGAGGAGAGAGGAGTGGCGGGGGCGGGGCGACGGGAGCGGCGGCTGGAGAGGGGAAGAAAAGAGAGAGAGAGAGAAGAAGAAGGGAAGAGAGAGAGAGAAAAGGGAAGAGAGAGAAGAGGGCCGGTGGCGGCGGCGGCGAGGGGAAGAAGAGGCAGAGAGAGAGAGACTTAGCAAGAGAGAGATAGAAAGCGGCGGGAGAAAATGAAGAGGAAGAAGATAGGGTATATTAGATCAGACTTATTTGCGACGACAATGTCGTCGCAAATAAGTTTAAATGTCGTCACAAATAATCATTAATTCCCGCGCTTGGTTTTTGGTGAAATCTTGAAAAGATTATTTGCGACGACAAAGTCGTCGCAAATAAATGGAAAATGTCGTCGCAAATAATCATTTTTCCCGCGTTTAGTTTTTTGGTGAAATCTTGAAAAGATTATTTGCGACAACAAAGAGAAAAAGTCATCGCAAATAACATAAAATTATTTGCGACGACTTTGTCGTTGCAAATAAATGGAAAATGTCGTCGTAAAAAATGGATTACCTTGGCGGCAAAAATCCGCGCCATTAAAATTTGCGCTCCAAAATTATTTGCGACGACATTTAGGTTTTTAGCGACGACATGGTTATTTTTTTAAACGGGGAGTAATTGCGACGACATGTCGTCACAAATATTTTATTATTTGCGACGACAAATGTCGTCGTCGCAAAAAATGTCGTCGCAAATGGCCTTTTTTGTTGTAGTGACATGAGATGGATAAATAGGAAGACTACCTATAGTTATCACTCACTTTTCTCAAAAGTATATAATAACACTCAAGAGATTTTCTTTGGTTTTTACTTTTTATTCCCGTTTCTCTCTTCTTCTTTTCTTTGAGGAAAAACCAAAACAAAAATGTGCAGCCACATATTTACTCTTTTTTTCCTCATGCTGAGGAAACGTGCAACAACATGTTTTCTCCCACTCCCTCTTTTTTTTGAGTGAGGAAACGTGCGCTTTAGCTGCATGTTTCCTTTCTTATACACACACACACACACATTAACGAGGGAGAGAAGAAAAAAAACATGGAGGGTAAAAAAAAATTTATCTTTTTATAAAAGTGACTAAATTCATCTATATTAATTTAAAATAATTTAAAAATAATTTTAATATTAATTAATCAAATTAATTAATATATGTGTATTTAGAATTCTCAATTCTAAATTAATAATCATAATCAAATATGATATATTCAGTTCACATTAATCTTATGGAGCCGTTGAGAGGGACTATGGACATTATAATTTTAAGCTCCAATAAATTTGACAATTAATTAACACCTAATTAATGAATCAATTAATATATCAAAATTATGAATTCCAAATTACTCCACTATAAATTTAGAGTTGCACTCTTAAAATTATAAAACAATTATGTTCACGGAATTTGTATTGTCCATTGATATAGTCACTACATACGAATTAATCCTCCATAAACGGTTTATAATTAAAGCTAGGTATTTTTCGTTGACTACCTTAATTATATCTTTCTCCATAAGTACCATTGATCCTCTAATGAATAATATATTTTATGATCCAATCATAAAATTGAGCGCTCTTATTATTCAAGCCCCGAATCAACACTTATGGGAATCGTCCATCTAATTCATTATGAAGGAATGGATTTCATCTTATAAATTAATATTCCCGGCTATTTATTTTACTATGCTCCCAATATACCAAGACTTTGACACTATTCACATGTGTCATTACTCAATATGTCAAAGAACATAATATCATAAATAGGAGTCTATTAATTACTCAGAATTAAGATTAATTCATAGGTGATCATCATTTATTAATATTGAATACTCTATTTAATAACGAAATTTATTAGAGATTCATAATTAATTACGTTCCGGTCCTATGTAATCATATTACATAAAATGCTTTCATTCTAATAATCTCATTATTAACAATCTAGGATAAGATTATTTCATTCAGAATGTAATGAACCGCATTAGTAATTTTAAATTAAAGATCCTAACTTTAATTTATAATTACGGACAAGTTTAGATTATTTTACTTCAAACATTATCTTCTGCATATAACACTTATATACAATGTTTAAAGTTACATTTAAAATAATCGAGGGATTTTGATATTTTTAAAACATCACATGCATGCAAAATAATATTAAAAAAATTCCTCATTTTATTGATAATTAACAAAATATTTACATCTTATTTGATTTATGGGCATATATACCAACAGAAATTGGGTTTTTGATAAGGTTAGCTTTCATATATGAGACGTCCTATTGGTTTTTCCACCCGCATTTGAATAAGTTACAGTTTTCTTGTCTTTACTTGGTTGGTACGATATTGACCCTTGCTATTTCTATCTTTATGCTCTTGTTTTTTTCTCACAGGAATTTCGTTGACTACAAAAGACTAATCTTTACCCCCTCTGTGTATAAACATTTCATTGGAGGCCAATGATTGGTTAACTTAACTTTTTTTTTTTTTTTTGGCTGCTGAAATAACTTAATTAGGTTAGCAAACCTGTAATACTTTTTTTAGAGCGTTGTTTTCACAAAAAAAATTACCGAAAATATATGAGTCTCACTTGCACCTTCCAATATTTACTTTTAGAACTTTGACTACTATATAAACGCATGATTGGTCATTCTATCATCAAATAAATGGGCTGAATATCACACACATACTCACAAGAATATTTTTTTTGTTGAGAAAAGTGTGTGTTGTCCCACAGAGAAAGTGGATGAGAATATGAAGTGGTTATATATATAGAAGGACTTAAGACTTAATAGGTTAACCTTTTAAGTCAAGTTGGGTTCTTGAAGTGTGTTGGGCCAATTTCACATGTGTGTCTCCTCAACAACTGGTATCAGAACCGATGGTTCGTATGGATCAAGCGATCACACTCGGTTAGAGTTTTCACATTACCTCCCGTGGAGAGTTAGTATTCTCGCAGGTGCGCGGATGGTGGAACATTTGGTGGACTCGCATGGTTTCGGCTCTCTTTTTCATGCTTGAGTTGGCTCCTATTTGGAGTATGATGCTTGGATGTGCCGGCTACTCGAAACTTTAATTCGTTTATATACATAAAAGGACCCAAGACCTAATAGGTTAACCTTTTGGGTCAAGTTGGATTCCTGAAGTGTGTTGGGTCAGTTTCGCATGTGGTGCCTCCTCAATAATTTTAAGGGTGTTTTAGTAAAATACATGACGTGTGAAAACCCAGCAAATTATACCAATTTTATAACAAGTCAATTTATGTCCCTATATATACGTACCTGTCTTTCCACTTATGTCTAGCTCTCCGCGCAGAAAACATGAATGTCGTTTTAGTCTATTTTATCAATTTGGAAATCTGATTAAGAACGTTAATACTAAAGACAGTAAAGTATGCATTCGAATTACGTTTCTCTTTTAGACCCGCCATTAACGTCTTGATTAGACATTAAGTTGATTAAAAAAAATGTGATCAGACGATCTCGAATGCTTTCGTTTTCTAGTTTTGTTATCCATTTTTCTCCTTCCTATACTGAATGCAAATCAAGTATACATCACACCATGATATAAAAAGACTAATTTTATTTGAATACCATGAACTTGTTAACCTTGCTTGAAGCTTGGCTTTTGCCTTTTGAGCCATAATGGGAAATATCACAACTGTTTCAGAGGGCTCAAAGAAGTCGGATATTCAGTTGAAGAAGTTCAAACTCTTCAATTTTCTCGTGCCATCACTAGCGAGTCTTGCCTTGTTCTTCGTCACTCTCCTCTTCATTGGCAGCTTCTTCTACTTGAATGATTCGGAAACTGGCATCAAAACTAGTACTACTAACTTAGCTCGTTGGAGCAATATCGAAATTACGAATGGCTCATCATCGTCGGTACGTCCGTCGGTTCGTGGGAATGGACGGGTGGGATTTCTTGAAGAAGGTGGTGGTGAATGTGATATATTTGATGGGAATTGGGTGTGGGACGAGAATTATCCGTTGTATAAATCCCAAGACTGCCCTTTTGTTGATGAAGGTTTCAGGTGCTCTGAGCATGGAAGGCCTAACAACTTCTATACCAAGTGGCGTTGCCAGCCCAAAGATTGTAACTTGCCCAGGTGTTGTTGTTTCTTCGTTATTTATTTTTGTGCCCTTTTTCTTTCTCCTCTTTTTGACCTTCTTCAAAGGTAATCTTATATATCTTATAATTACAAGAAAACACTCGGGTTAGAAATTTCTTGCAAAATCTCTCTTTCTTGCAGTGATTAAATTGGGAGAGATTAAATAGAATGCTAAATTTACATGATAGGATCGAATCTACAATATTGTCACCAGACCAAATGGTCTTAAGCTTCTTATGCTCACTGTTTATTTAATCTGTCCTGTAGTAATTAGATTAGGAGATGGTGAATAAAAACAGCTAACCATACTAAAGAGCAACGTTTAGAAATAAATACAATAATGAAAACAAAAGCTAGTGGAGTTGAATTTGAAATTTATAATAACCAGTTATATAAGAGGAGAGAATCTGACAGTGAGGTTGTTTTCCTTTTATATCGTGGATAAAAGATTTGATGCAGGGACGATGCTAGAAAAGCTGATCAGGAACAAGCGCGTTGTATTCGCCGGCGACTCGATTGCGAGGAATCACTGGGAATCCCTCCTCTGCGTGCTTTCCGTTGCTGTCTCTAACAAGTCCTCAATCTATGAAGTGAATGGGAATCCCATCACCAAGCATAAGGGACACTTGGTCTTCAAGTTTGATGACTTCAACTGCATTATTGAGTACTTCAGATCACCATTTCTAGTGGTGCAGGGCCGTCCTCCACCGCGGTCTCCCCCGAGGGTTAGGTTCAGTTTGAGAGTAGATCAAATGTCTTGGGCTTCCAGACTCTGGAGAGATGCTGATATAGTGATTCTCAGTTCTGGACACTGGTGGACTTACCATAAGACTCTAAGAGCGTAAGCATATATAGAAATATATATAGCCATATATACATATATATGTCTATGAGAAAATACACAAAATATCGCCATGTTATTGAAAATATATACCAGATATTTTAGATGCTCTCAATGTGGTACTCTTCGAATTCAATTGCATATCAAATTGATAACTTCTACGATCAAATATTACTTAAATCGCTTAAATGACAATTTTACTAGTTACGGGATCTAGAGTGAACAAGTTGATAATAATTTTAAATATGTAGTTCGTCATTCAAGTGGTCAAGACTATTAGTTGACCAATAAAGGGTATATAAATTAAAAGCTAAAGGTACAATATTGAGAACACGCATAATGTATAATGTTAATAAACTTAAAAAGCATGTTGTAGAATCGTGAATAAATCATTTGTTAAGACATGATTAGCTTTGTTTGAAGCCTCCTAACAAATACTAAAACATTTCCTGAGAAATAATGGTAATGTGTTCACCCGGAGTTGTGGGCTTGTTCAGTTATTTGATTGAATAGTATTTATTTCAAGAATGTTTTATTTGAGGGACAAAGTAATTAGTCTTTGCTAGTTCATCCTCTTAAACTCGATACAATTGTAATATTTCGAGTTGTGTGCCTCCATATGTATATTACCAGGGGCGGTTACTTCCAAGAAGGGAACAAGTTGAAGATGAACATGAGTATTAAAACTGCCTACCAAAGATCGATTGAAACAATGGTTAATTGGGTTAATACACAATTAGACGCAAACAAGACTCGTGTCTTTTTTCGAACCTATTCTCCAAGTCATTTCAGGTTGACTACTACACTACTACTTTCACTCTCCTTTTATTCACTTGAAAACCTTATATATAAATTATCTGTGGATGAGCACTAATATATATATATATATATATGTGGGTGTCACTGGGAAATGCAACCTAATTTAGGCTCATTGGTTGGTCAATCTTCTTATGTTAAGCTTGTGACGACTCTCCTATGAGGCCGCCACTGTAACTTAAACTTTAACTTGTACTTACTGGCATTTCTTAAAATTTGCGGAACATTTTTTTTTTTTAAACATAAGAATGAATACTTTCATAATTCGTAACAATAATTTCAAAAGAATAAATCACTGAATTTCTTAAAGCTTTTCTTAATTTCAATTAAGATAAAACCTTCTAGAAATATTTTTCAAATGGAGCTGTGTTTGAACTCTTGTTTCAAATACTCTTTAAAAGCCTTTCTAAAACTAGCCAATTCAA